CCAGGAGTTATGATTTGTGTGGTTTGACTTAAGTTTTACACAGAGAAATTGGATTGGAAGGGTTTAAATCTCATTGTGATGCACCTTCCATTGGCCTGGTGGCCAAATGAAGCAGGAATTTCAGAGCACACTGGTAAGAGCAAATTCCCAGTGCTGCCACGGGGAAAGGAGAAGGAAAACAAGCCAGGAGTTGGGATTTGTGTGGTTTGATTTAAGTTTTTCACGGAGAAATCGGATTGGAAGGGTTTAAATCCCATCTTGCACCTTCCATTTGACTGGTGGCCAAATGAAGCAGGAATTTCGGGGTGCACTGGTGGGAGAAAATTCCCAGTGCTGCCATAGAGAAAAGAGAAGAAAAACAAGCCAGGAGTTGGGATTTGTGTGGTTTGATTTAAGTTTTTCCCTCAGAATTTGTCCTGGAAGCATGTAATGCTCAGCTCACTGCACCTTCTGCTGGCCTTTAATAGCCTGGTGGCCAAATTAATCAGGAATTTCAGGGTGCACTGCTGGGAGCAAATTCCCAGTGCTTCCAGAAGGAAAAGAGAAGGAAAACAAACCAGGAGTTGGGATTTGTGTGGTTTGGTTTAAGTTTTTCCCTCAGAAATTTGGTTGGAAGGGTTTATATCCCAGCTTGTTGCACCTTGCACTGGCCTGGCTGCCAAATTATTTCAGAATTTCAGAGCACGCTGGTGGGAGCAAATTCCCAGTGCTTCCAGAGGGAAAAGAGAAGGAAAACAAGCCAGGAGTTGGGATTTGTGTTGTTTTGTTTAAGTTTTTCACAAAGAATTTTGGTTGGAAATGTTTAAAGCTCAGCTTGCTGCACCTTCCACTGGCCTTTAGTGACGAAATTAAACTGGAATTTCAGAGCACACTGGTGGGTGCAAATTCCCAGTGCTTCCACAGGGAGGAGAGAAGGAAAACAAACTTTTTTTTGAATTTTAAACTTTTAAAATTTTAAAAATCGAGGGATTGGCGTTTTTCACCCAGGTGGATTCCATGCAGGAATTCCGAGGGGGATTCTTTGTTTTTTATTGTCTTGTAATTATCCTCACTCTAAACTTTAATTGTATTCTTATTTCTATAACCATTTCATTATCATTAAACTTTTAAACTTTTTAAAACCAAGCAACTGGCGTTTTTCACCCAGGTGGATTCCATTGAGGAATCCCAAGGGGGATTCTTTTATCCTCACTCTAAACTTTATCACTCTAATTGTATTCTTCTTGCTATAAAAATATCTAATTGTATAATTATTTTCATAACCATTTGATTTTTTCTAAACTTTATCACTCGAATTGTATAATTATTTTCATAAAAAAATCTAATTGTATTATTATTTTCATATATTTTTTATTATTTTTAATGTTTTAAAACCTCAGCGACCGTCGTTTTCCACCCAGGTGGATTCCATGCAGGAATTCCGAGGGGGATTCTTTTATCCTCACTCTAAACTTTATCACTCGAATTGTGTAATTATTTCCATAAAAAAAATCTAATTGTATTATTATTTTCATATCCATTTTATTACTTTTAAAGTTTTAAAACCTCAGCGACCGTCGTTTTCCACCCAGGTGGATTCCCTGCAGGAATTCCGAGGGGGATTCTTGATTCTTTTCCTTTTTATTGTCTTGTAATTATCCTCACTCTAAACGTTATTACTCAATTATTACTTCAATTACTATTGAATAATTTCACTGTTATTCAACTTTTAAAATTATAAAAACCGAGGGATAGGAGTTTTTCACCCAGGTGGATTCCATGCAGGAATTCCGAGGGGAATTCTTTTATCCTCACTCCCAACGATATCACTCTAATTGTGTAATTATTTTTATTAAAAAATCTAATTGTATAATTATTTTCGTAACCATTTGATTATTTTTATAATTTTAAAACCCGAGCGCCGTCCTTTTCCACGCTGGCAGATCCCATTTGGGAGCGGGACGTGGCTTTGGGTGGGAATTCCCGTTTTAAGGTGACATGGCTATGGGTGGGAATTCCCGTTTAACGACACGTGGCTTTGGGTGGGAATTCCCATTTTAAGGTGACGTGGCTTTGGGTGGGAATTCCCGTTTAACGGGACGTGGCTTTGGGTGGGAATTCCCGTTTTAACCAAACGTGGCTTTGGGTGGGAATTCCCGTTCTAACGGGACGTGGCTTTGGGTGGGAATTCCCGTTTAACGGGACGTGGCTTTGGGTGGGAATTCCCGTTTAACGGGACGTGGCTTTGGGTTGGAATTCCCGTTCTAATGGGACGTGGCTTTGGGTGGGAATTCCCGTTTTAACGGGACGTGGCTTTGGGTGGGAATTCCCGTTCTAACGGGACGTGTCTTTGGGTGGGAATTCCCGTTTTAATGAAACGTGGCTTTGGGTGGGAATTCCTGTTCTAACGGGACGTGTCTTTGGGTGGGAATTCCCGTTTAACGGGACGTGGCTTTGTGTGGGAATTCCTGCTTTAATGGGACGTGGCTTTGGGTGGGAATTCCCGTTTTAACGGGACGTGGCTTTGGGTGGGAATTCCCGTTCTAATGGGACGTGGCTTTGGGTGGGAATTCCCATTTAACGGGACGTGGCTTTGGGTGGGNGACGTGGCTTTGGGTGGGAATTCCCATTTAACGGGACGTGGCTTTGGGTGGGAATTCCCGTTCTAATGGGACGTGGCTTTGGGTGGGAATTCCCAATTTAACAGGACGTGTCTTTGGGTGGGAATTCCCAATTTAACGGGACGTGTCTTTGGGTGGGAATTCCCAATTTAACGGGACGTGGCTTCGGGTGGGAATTCCCGTTTTTCCGCACCTGCAAGCTGGTGACGGTGAAGTTGGCGATGAGCCGGATCACCTCGGGGTAGTTCTCCACCTTCACCAGCTCGCCCAGCTGGTAATTGCTCTTCAGGCGGGCCAGCAGCCGGCAGAACTCGTGGTAATTGTTGGGGTCCGACAGGCTCTGAGGAACAGAGGGGAGTCAGGGCAGAAACTGGAGCAGCCAAAATTCCCAATAAATCCCACTCTGCCATTAAACCAGGCCAGCAATTCCCACATTTCCTGATTTTTGGGAATTTCCAGCCATTCAATCCCTTCCCATGGGGTAATTGTTGGGGTCCGACAGGCTCTGAGGAACAGAGGGGAGTCAGGGCAGAAACTGGAGCAGCCAAAATTCCCAACAAATCCCACTGTGTCACTGAACCAGGTCAGTATTCCCACATTTCCTGGTTTTTGGGCATTTCCAGGGATGGTTCCAGCCCTTCAATCCGTTAAATTAAATGGGGAAATTGTTCCTACAGGAGCAGCTCAGCCAGGCACAGAGAGAAAATCAAATAATCCAGAAACTGGAGCAGAAGCCAAAATTCCCAACAAATCCCACTGTGTCACTGAACCGGGTCAGTATTCCCACATTTCCTGGGTTTTGGGCATTTCCAGGGATGGTTCCATCCCTGAAATCCCTTAAATTAAATGGGGAAATTGTTGGGGTCCGACAGGCTCTGAGGAACAGAGGGGAGTCAGAGCAGAAACTGGAGCAGCCAAAATTCCCAATAAATCCCACTGTGTCACTGAACCGGGTCAGTATTCCCACATTTCCTGATTTTTTTGGGAATTTCCAGCCCTTCAATGCCTTCCCATGGGGAGATGATCCCGAATCTTCACCAGTGAACGGTGGGAAAAGGGAAGAGCAGGACAATGAGTTCGCTGAGCGGGAGGTGAAAAGGGATTTTTTCCATGATTTTTCCCCAGGAAATCCACAAGAAGGATTTTCCCCATGGAATTTTTTTTCCCACGGGATGGATTTTTCCCTGGATTTTGCCCCCAGAAGTGGATTTCGGGGTCCCACGGGGCACCTGGGGGTTCTCCAGGATGCGCTTGACGCCGTCCACGAGGTGCGAGAGGAACTTGGCGCGCTCGGCGTTGTTGAAGAGCGAGCGGCGCACCGAGGCGATCTGCACCAGGCACGAGAGCACCTGGAAAAGGGAAAAACACGGGAATGAAAACGGGAATGACATGGGGGTAACATGGGAATAAAAACGGGAATGACATGGGGATAACATGGGAGTAACATGGGAATAAAAACGGGAATGAAAACGGGAATGACATGGGGGTAACATGGGGATAACATGGGGATAGCATGGGAATAAAAACGGGAATGAAAACGGGAATGACATGGGGGTAACATGGGGATAAAAACGGGAATGACATGGGGATAACATGGGAATAGCATGGGAGTAACATGGGAATAAAAACGGGAATGACATGGGGATAGCATGGGAGTAACATGGGAATAAAAACGGGAATGACATGGGGATAGCATGGGGGTAACATGGGGATAGCATGGGAATAACATGGGGATAACATGGGAATAAAAACGGGAATGACATGGGGGTAACATGGGGGTAACATGGGAATAACATGGGAATAAAAACGGGAATGAAAACGGGAATGACATGGGGGTAACATGGGGATAACATGGGAGTAACATGGGAATAACATGGGAATGAAAACGGGAATGACATGGGGATAGCATGGGGGTAACATGGGGATAGCATGGGAATAACATGGGAATAAAAACGGGAATGAAAACGGGAATGACATGGGGGTAACATGGGGATAGCATGGGAATAACATGGGAATAAAAACGGGAATGACATGGGGATAACATGGGGATAACATGGGGATAACATGGGAATAAAAATGGGGATAACATGGGGATAACATGGGGATAAAAATGGGAATAACACGGGGATAACATGGGAATAAAAACGGGAATAACATGGGGATAACATGGGGATAAAAATGGGAATAACATGGGAATAAAAATGGGAATAAAAATGGGAATAACAGGGGAATAACATGGGAATAAAAATGGGAATAACATCGGAATAACATGGGAATAACATGGGAATAAAAATGGGAATAACATGGGGATAACATGGGAATAAAAATGGGAATAACAGGGGAATAAAAATGGGAATAAAAATGGGAATAACATGGGAATAAAAATGGGAATAACATGGGAATAAAAAGGGGAATAAAAATGGGAATAACATGGGAATAAAAACGGGAATAAAAATGGGGATAACATGGGGATAACATGGGAATAACATGGGAATAGCATGGGAATTAGAGACCGGAAAAGGGGGGGAAATGGGAATTAAAATGGGAATTAAAATAATGGGAATAAAAATGGCAATTAGAGAGTGGAAAAGGGGGAAAATGAGAATAAAAGATGGGAATAAAAATGGGAATTAGAGCCGGAAAAGGGGGGAAAATGGGATAAAAATGGGAATTAAAATGGGAATTAAAATGGGAATTAAAATGGGACTAAAAGTGGGAATTACAGTCTGGAAAAAGGGGGAAAAATGGGAATTACAGGCTGGAAAATGGGGGGAAAACACAGGAATTAGAGAGTGGAAATTGGGATAAAAAATGGGAATTAGAGCCTGGAAATTGGAATAAAAAATGGGAATGGACGGGAACCGGGGGGGGAAATGGGAATGAACAGAAAAATTGGGATCAGAATTGGGAATAAACACAAAAATTGGGATAAAACACAAAATCAGGGCTGAGAACTTGGGAATAAACACAAAAATTGGGATAAAACAAAAAATAGGGATAAAACATGGGAATAAACACAAAAATTGGGATCAAACATGGGAATAAACATAAAATCAGGGGTGAAAATTGGGAATAAACAGAAAAATTGGGATCAAAATTGGAAATAAACACAAAAATCAGGGCTGAAAACACAAAATCAGGGATGAGAACATGGGAATAAACACAAAAATTGGGATAAAAATTGGGAAGAAACAGAAAATTTGGGATAAAACATGGAAATAAACAGAAAATTTGGGATAAAAGATGGGAAGAAACAGAAAAATTGGGAATAAACAGAAAATCCGGGGTTGGAAAAGGCCCCCAAGGTCAGAAATTCCGAATTCCGGAATTCCTGTGGTTGGAATTCTGCAATCCCAGCAGAAATAATCTCAATTTTTTATTTTCCCAGCAGAAATAATCCACATTTTTATTTTCCCAGCAGAAATAATCCAATTTTTTTTTTATTTTCCCAGGAGAAATAATCCGATTTTTTTAAATCTATTCATTTATTTTATAATTTAATTTCAATTTAATTGTATTTATTTATGTAATTTATACACTTACTTAATTATAATTAATGTATATATAATATACAATAACTGCATATAATAATTATATATTGTATACATAATAATCAATATATTATGCTTATAATAAGTTATTATATTTTTATTTTACTTTATGATGTTTATTTATTTTATTATAAGTTATATATATTATATATTTATTTATTAAATATTTTATATATTGTATCAAATTTATTATAATATATTGAATTATTATATTTTTATTTTATTTTACTTATTTACTTTATTATATATTTTATGTATTTATGTAATTACATATTTTATATACTTATTTTATCACATTATTATAATATATTATTATATAAGAAATTAAATATATAAATCAATTTATTTAATTTATATATTTAATTTATCTAATCTATACATCTGATTTAATATATTCAATTTATTTAATTAATTTATGCATTTAATTTATTTAATTTATAAATTTAATTTAATACATTCAATTTATTTAATCAATTTACTTATTTAATTTAATTTATTTAATTTAATTTATAAATTTAATTTANTCAATTTATTTAATCAATTTACTTATTTAATTTAATTTATTTAATTTAATTTATAAATTTAATTTAATACATTCAATTTATTTAATCAATTTATTTATTTAATTTAATTTATTTTATTTAATTTATAAATTTAATTTAATACATTCAATTTATCTAATAAATTTATTTATTTAATTTAATTTATTTAATTTAATTTATAAATTTAATTTAATACATTCAATTTATTTATTTAATTTAATTTATTTAATTTAATTTATAAATTTAATTTAATACATTCCATTTATTCAATCAATTTATTTATTTTATTTAATTAATTAAATTTAATTTATAAATTTAATTTAATACATTCAATTTATTCAATCAATTTATTTATTTAATTTAATTTATTTAATTTATAAATTTAATTTAATACATTCAATTTATCTAATCAATTTATAAATTTAATTTAATTTATTTACTTAATTTAATATCTTTAATTTTTTTAAATTTAATTTAATTATTAAATTAATTAACTGCTAACTGTTCAATTGTGATTTTTTGCAATTGCTCTCCCAGCGGAACGTACCAAGGGCGAGAAGGAGGGGGGGATGGAATGGTAGAGGTCGAAGAAGAGCTGCAGGGTGGACGAGTCCAGGAACGCTGCGGGGGCAATTAACAACGGGAATTCATTAATTAACATCGGAATTCACAACCAGAGTTCATTAACAACCAGAATTCATTAACAACGAGAATTAACAACGAGAATTAAAATAGAGAATTCATTAACAACGGGAATTCATTAATGAACAACGGAATTCACAACCAGAGTTCATTAACAACCAGAATTCATTAATGACCAACGGGAATTCACAACCAGAATTCATTAACAACGAGAATTCATTAACAACGGGAATTAAAAAAGAGAATTCATTAACAACGAGAATTCATTAACAACGAGAATTAAAAAAGAGAATTATAAAAGAGAATTCATTAACAACGAGAATTAAAAAAGAGAATTCATTAACAACGAGAATTCATTAACAACGAGAATTAAAAACGAGAATTAAAAAAGAGAATTCATTAACAACGAGAATTCATTAACAACGAGAATTAAAAACGAGAATTAAAAAAGAGAATTCACTAACAACGAGAAGTAACAACGAGAATTCATTAACAACGAGAATTAACGAGAATTAAAAACGAGAATTAAAAAAGAGAATTCATTAACAAGAATTAACAACAAGAATTAAAAAAGAGAATTCATTAACAACGGGAATTCATTAACAACGAGAATTAACAACGAGAATTAATTAACAACGAGAATTAACAACAAGAATTCATTAACAACGAGAATTAAAAACGAGAATTTTTACCTCAAATTTCTGCCTCCCAGCCCCGAAATTCCCATTTCACACCCCGGGATTGGGCGGGAAAAATCGGGATTTATTCGGGAAAAAATTGGGGTTTTTTGGGAAAAAAATGGTGTTTTTTGGGAAAAAATTGGGTTTTTTTTTTGGAAAAATTAGGAATTTATCTGGGACAAAGCTGGGGTTTATTTGGGACAAAATTGGGGTTTATTTGCAAAAAAAATTGGTTTATTAGTGCTAAATTTGCATTTATTTGGTACAAAATCAGGATTTTTGGACCATAAATCAGGAATTTTTGACAGAAAATCAGGATTTTTTTTGACCAAAAACGCCGTATTTTTACCCGATGGTTTATGAATGATAACAGTGGGATGTTTTTTCCCAAAAACGCCGTTTTTTTCCCCGATCTCCAGCTGGTGGGGATCTGCACGGTGCACAGGTTCAGGAATGATAAAATCAGGATATTTTGACCATAAATCAGGATGTTTTTTGCCCAAAAATCAGGATTTTTTTGCCCAAAAACACCGTTTTTTGCCCCGATCTTTTATGAATGATAAAATCAGGATGTTTTTGCCCAAAATCCTGTTTTTTTCCCCGATCTCCAGCTGGTGGGGATCTGCACGGTGCACAGGTTTAGGAATGATAAAATCAGGATATTTTGACCATAAATCAGGATATTTTGACCGAA